ATGAAGGCAGACTTGTACACTAATTATTCTAGGCATTACATTTACTGTCTTCATCCTATTGAAAGTACTTTTGCAGAATTCTTATACAAGGACCCAATTCAGCTGAATGGCCTTGATACTCTACAAGCCTAGGATAATGTTTTTGGATCAAAGCTATAAAAAGTTGTTAAATACCGCAACCAACTCCCTTCTGGTGAAATTCAGACATAAAATGGAGTACAATCACCTTAGATATATTCCAAACATTTTTGACATGTTAAAAATTAATCAATCTGGGCAGGCGCCTTATTGCCCCCACAATTCCTAATTGCTGCCTCACTTCAGATTCTGAAAGCTGATTCCAAAAATTCAGAGCCTTTGATCTCTTCCGAATGGTTGTTAAATGACACTAGCAGCCTGGTCTGTTAGCGACCGAAGAATCCTGAGAAGTGGTTAATAAATAATTTTCAACTTCAGCCCTAACATCATTTGAGGTTCTCCACACAGATCATAATTCACGATAGACATAAGCATTCCTGTGCTCCTACTACAAGCCAGAATGTGGAAAAATTTCTGTATCTATCACCTTTAATTTGCCCAATTACAGCCTTGATTTCTGCATCACACCCACATCCACCATTTCCTTATTGCCATTTCTTCCCTTTAGCCTCCCTTCTTTCTAGCAAGCCTGAGATGTGATAATGACCATTCTTCAGCCATTAAGTCCAGATATGTAATTCCTCTTCAACTTGTTTTAGCTTGAAACCAACGATGACCAAAGACCTCATTATTCCACTGCTTAATGTGCTTTTAAGCTTTCATTTATACAAGCACTTGAATCCGCCCAACCATCTACCGTTTTTCTGCCCAACATTTTTGCACTACCTCATAAAGCCTTGGAATGAGAAGCGATGCATTAATGAATTTGTCACGACCAACCCGGCCCTAGGGTTTAGCACCAGTACCGGCCAGTAATCCGAGATTAGCCGAAGGCCTGCTGAACATAATACAGTAACAGGAGTACACGGCCTGCGGAAGCCAATACAGTAAATACAATAGTGTCCATGAGCTGTGACAGTCTGTGATGCGAAAAGGCTTATTTCAATATTCACACATGAACAGTACAGATCAGTATGTACAATGTCACATCCATTCAACTCCAGGGTCTCAATCCTACAAACAGTACCAGAAAACAATTCCGTCTGTACAAAACAAGTACTGTCTATACAAAACAGTAATTCTTACAAACAGTACAGAAAGGGGAAAAACAAAACAAAACACCCAACCCAAGCCATAGCATGCAATCTCGGAAAACCTCGCCAAGAGCCACAAAGGCTGGCTTGACAAAACTGGAGTACCCTGACGCCTCTACTGCGGTCTTGGCCTGTAACACCTAATATATATATGAGCCAGTAGCTAAAGCCCAGTGAATAACACAAAGCGTAAAGAGGTTTAGAATGAATGTCCTTACAGTAATGAAAACAGTTTCAATTCAATCAGTATTTCAATCGTTCAGTACAGTAACAGTCATAGTGCGACATCCAATTAGACAATACAACAGTAACAAGTAGGTCTTGAAAGAACCGAACCATAATGACATGGCCATCAGTCATAGTAAACAGTAGTGGCCTCCACGAGGAACCCGACAGAGAATTCTGTACGCGTCTAACAGTAACAGTACAACAGTAGGTACTAAGATGCCACAGATTACAGTTCAGAAATAAAGGACATACATTCATTCAAGTAAATAATACCAGTCTCAGTAAACAGTTCAGTCAGTATTCAAAAGGATAGTCACCTTGACATCATCTTACACCAATTGTTAACTCACAGAGTTCTGGGCTACAGTATGCTAGAGCGTATCCTCTCCAGTCAGCCAACCCTACACAGTTCACAGGTTGGACACACACTTAAGCTACACAGTTTGGGAAAATATCAAACTTATCCCTAATTGCCTTGGTGATGTTCTACAACGAATATCCTCATCAAGATGTCTTAAACTAGCCTTAAGAATCCTAAGGGGTATAGATGAGGATGAAAAATGCACATTATAAAAGCTTTTTCTCAGAAAAACAGAGTCCCGTGGCCATCTGGGACGCTGCTTGTTTCCCCGCTCGAGCGTACATGCAAACAAAGTACATGTCGAGCCGTAACTATTTACCGCATCGCAGCGTACTGTAAAAGTACTGGATGGGTGAAATCTCGCCGCTCGACGCCCGCTCGAGCTTGAGACATGACTCCGCTCGAGCGCCCTATCCTCCGCTCGAGCGGACTGTAAAACAGTGCAGAGAGATGCTGGTTGCTCGAATTCTACGCTCGAGCGGCACTTCCTCCGCTCGAGTGGAAGTGCGAAATCTGGAAAACCCAGATTGCACCTCCAAGCTCAAACTCAAGTTTAAATGCATCAAAACCGATCCTCTTGGGCTCATTTTCTGGAAAACATTTATAAACACATAGAATATCATGTTTCAAAGCTCAATTTGAGAAATCAAGCCCAAGGGTGTTTAATTCAAACTCAATTTCAAACCATTTTTCAAGAAAAATATGAACATGTAAACATGCATGGATTCAAACCAAATTCAATCTTCAAAGCTTGTTCAAATGGACTCATTTCTTCAAGAACATGATGAATTCATGGAGTATGACCAAAAGATGGACATGCATGTAACATTTTGCCATGAAAACAACTCAAACATCTACATTACAAATATGCATGCATGAAATGAGTTCCAAATCAACAACAATGAACCAAAGTATGACTTAGTTCTACAATGAAGCATGAATCATGCAAGAACTAGCTCAAACACATCAATAAAGGTTGAGTTCTCTTACCTAGAGCCTCAATTACAAGTGTAGGACCACAAAGCAACAATCAACCTTCAATTCTCTAAGTTGCTTAAACCAAATCTCAAGAACTACACCAACTCTCACTCTCTCTCTCTAAATTCGGCTAGAACAAGAAGAAATGGCTGAGCAAATGTGTTTTGATTCAAGTATAAGGCTCAAGTGTGTGTATTTGAGATAGTGGCCCACTCAAGGGCATAACGGTAAATAAGTCCAACTCTTTAATTAGCTTATTTAATCTAATTTAATCATACCTAATCAATTTTCAGATAATTGTACAATAAAATCACATAAATTACGAGGGTCACAGAACACTAATCGGTTTCAGATTCGGCCGCCGATAAGGCCTTCAATTAGCAGTTTAAACACTAAAATACGAACAGATCAAATAAACAATCAACAGATAGAATGCAGTTCAAACAGATGTATTCATTCAATTCAGTTTCAATTTCGGTCAGTCAGTTCAGTACTTTAGTCAGTTCAATTATCAGTCATTATCAGTTCCATTTCGCAGTAATCAATGATTAACGGTAATCATTCGGTCATTAATCAGTAAACAGTATGAGGGTTGTTACAGAATTTGAAGGGTCTAGGACCCCAGTCCCTCTCATCCTCTAACAGTAGGATAGGGCTATGATCTGAAAACCTTCTAGGAAGACCCCACAATTTGAAATTAAAATTACACACCCAGTCTGTGTTAAGGAGAAATCTGTCTAATCTACTCCATCTTTCCCCATCCTGAGAATTACTCCAGGTGAAATTTCGCCCGAACATTGGTAAGTCAATTAACTCTAATTGGTCAATCATTGCATTGAATTCTCTCATCCCCCTATCCATTCTAGAGCACCCTTTTCTTTCTGAAATTCTCCGGATCTCATTGAAATCCCCCCCCACACACCAAGGATTTGGGAAAACAGATTTCATTTTTAACAGAATATCCCATACCTCCTTCCTTTTAATTGCATCATTAGGACCATATACATTCACCACTACACACTGAAAGCTATAATAAAGCGTACCTGATAGGAGAATAAAGTTTTTATTGCAGCAACAGTCTTTAATTTGAAACACTTCTGGATTCCATACACAGAGTAAACCTCCAGCAGCTCCTGTTGAGTCCACAGCCATAAAGTCCATCATCTCTCCAGCCCAAATTGACCAAGCTAACTTTTCATTACTCACAGATTTCTTAGTCTCTTGCAGCAACACCATGTCAACTTTATTGTCCAGGAGCACCTTTTTTATCCTCCTCCTTTTAATTGACTTTCCCAATCCCCTCACATTCCAAGATAATAGCTTCATTACAAACTGTCCATAACTCCTTATACCTCCTAGGGATGCTATTCAGTTCACATTGCCCTCCCTCTCCTTCAATTTTGCAATATCTCTCTCTTCCAACTCCATTAACTTGCTTATAATCTCCTCCTCTTTGCCTTTGCAGTCCATCCCGAGGACCTTACTAAGCTGCAGGTTTGTTTTAGCTTCATTAAGTTTGCTTATAATCTCCTCTTCCTGACCATTACCGTCCATCCCAAGGACTTTGCTGAGCTGCGCATTTGTTTCAGCCTCATTGAGTACTCTTCTTCTTGATTCACTTGACATGGAAAGTGAAATTGCTGCTACTGCTGACCTGAAAACCGCCCCTTTCTTCAAGTTCATCGCCATTTCTTTCCTATTTTTTCCAAATTGGAGGCTGCCCTTCTCATTGAAATAGTGACCTGGAACCCCTTTTGCTTTTTCCTTTCTTGAAGCTTTTCTTATCTGATTAGTCTTTGATGCTTCTCCCCGTGAGCCAATCTGGTATGGCTGTTCCAACTCGACATTTTGGGCTTGGTAAATTAAGCTACTGATAACCTGTTTTGGGTCATAGCTTTTGGGCTGTACAGCAACACCGGTACCAGGGCTCATACCACAATTCTGTTCATGGGCCTTGTTGAGAACCACTTCCAAATTCAACCCAGGTGTGTAACGAATAGATCCACTTAGACTTCTCATGAAGCCTGAAGTACTCACCTCTCCATCAACTTTTTGATTACCCCGCTGTTCCTCATGCTTCTCGGCATGCGCCGACCTCATCATCACGCCAGCTCTTGTACCCCCAGAATTTGGTCTTCCCAAGTTGCTGTCAGTTTCCTCGACCAGTGAAACATTTAAATCTTTTTCTCTGTCTTCCAGTTCAGCTCTGTCTTCCTGTGCACTTCTCCTTTCTGTAATTGCCATGTTACTCATTCTGTCCAACTCAGCTTCTTGCTGGGTATCCACGTCATCATCATCATCCTCACCCCGTTTGTTCCTCTGTTCTGCTCTCTGTCCATCTTCTTGCTCATACGAACTGGAACCATCGCCTTCATCATGGTTCTTATGCCATTTGCATATCTTAGTTAACACCACCCTGGTAACAATCTGTTCCTCGCACACTTTCACTGGATATAGGATTCCTTGACAATCTAACTGCACAGTTCTATTGATAGATTCCATATCTGTGGTGACGATTCTTACCCTTCCACATTGTAAGTTCTTCATATTAAGAGTATCTTCATCCAACTCAATAACTTCGCCCCATGTTGTTCCTATACTGCTGAAAGTTTTACTGTTCCATAGATTTAATGGCACTCCATAACAGCTCAGCCATACACATCGTTCCTGTGTAATGACCATTCCTTTTTTCCATTCATTGACCGATTCGCACCACTCCTTAATCCAACCATTCATTATGATGAGTTTTTCTTTCATCTCTTGGACTGATTGAAATGAGATTACTAAATCCCTTTCACCTGCAGCTCTAACTTTGATATTTCCCACCTCCCTCTTGGTTAATTCTTTCCTGAAATCCTCCTCCGAGCATTGCGATCTCAGTCGAGCAATTATACTCTCATAAAACCAACCATTACCTTCTTCATAAGCTCTTACGGTTAAGCTTGTAGATACTCTCCTTCTCCCTTCACCTACCACCTGGGCATATGATTTCTTTGTATTTTCCCGAGTAGCATTTGCATAACTTGACATCTCTGCCTTTCTTTCCTGTTTGCCATATGGTAGCCTTGGTTTAGCTCCCTGTTCCTTCTCAAAGTCTGCTGGTTTTACCTTCAATGCTTTGTTATCACACCACAGGCCGTTTGCTTTCTGAACTGCCATTTGTGCCGCCACTGGACAGTCGTATCTGACAAATCCAAATTTTGATCTTGCATGTTTCCTCCTCTTGAACGCTATATAAACATCCTTCACCACCCCAAAGTTAGTAAATATGTCGTACAACCCTTTTGGATCCATTGAGTCTGGTATGTCATCCACAAACAGTGTAAACATTCCTACTTTTGGCGCTGGGAAACCTTTACCATTTCTTCCATGTCTGCGCAGTACTGGCATCCAACCCCCTGCTCCCGCTCCATACTTCTGTTGCCTTTCCATCCTCAAACGTGGTTCCCCGATCTTACTAAATCTTACTACTTTTTGTAAGAAATGAAATAGACTTACTAAATCTTACTACACATTGTCAGTTTCAATCTCTATCGTCAACTGCTATTTTTAGTTCCACTCCTCGCCCATATCATTGGATGTTGTTATAGCTAAAACCCAGAAACATCCACTTGAAAAGCAATAATCATGCTTTTAACTCCAAGTTATGAACAAAAGGAACTATACCAACCAATTCATTCTTTTATCAGTTAAAATATTTGAATAAACTTCATGATGGGGGGATTTTCGGACTCTTTGTAATTTACAATTATTTCTCCCACAAAATGTTCAAAGACAACCTTCTCATTCTGTGGTTTGGCTTACAAAGTCACAACAGGAATCAAGATTTTAATAATAGAATCCGGAGTATCGAGTAATACATATTGAAATTGGATGACGCAATTAAAACTTTTTTTTATTCATCAATTCCGTAAAAGGGCTTCCTGACAATCAAGTCAGTTATATTAGCTGTGAACCAGCCATATTAGCTATAAATCAAGTTGTGAATCATCTATGAAACGACAAATCGCAAACCAATCAATATGCATATAATTTTTATTGCCACCAATATATTGGAATGTATCAATATTGGGAAATTTAAAAACCTATACGCATCAACCAACATACTAGAATGTATCAATATGGAGAACCAAAAAATCTATATATCACCTGATGCAATACATATTTTAAATGGTAATTAGGGTTACAAACGAACCGAACCGAACCGAATCGAGTCGAATTTTGCTGAGCTCAAGCTCGGCTCTTTTACTTATCAAGTTCGTTTATTAAGCTCGAGCTCGGCTCGATAAGAAATTGGGCTCGAACTCGGCTCGGCTCAATAATTTTTTTAATATTATTTAAATAAAAAATATTATTTATATATATTTATATATTATTTAATATAAAAATAATATATTTATTATATAATTTAAATAAAGATAAACGAGCTGAGCTTGGCGAGCCGAACTTATGCAAGTTTGAACTCGGCTCATTTACTAAACGAACCGAGTCGATCCGAACTTGTTCATGAACAGCTCGGTTCATTTGCAGCCCTAATGGCAATACAAAAGACAATGAGAAGTTGTGCGCCAGTGGATTGCTATCTGGTATTGCCATTGCTTTTTTGTCATCTGAAGAGGCGAGATAATTTATTCACTAGCTTTTTAATGATATTTTTGCAACAAGTAATATTACATAGCCCAAAAATTACTTAAAAAATTGCCAAAAAAAATAAAAATGTCATTGTGCAAACACATCGAAGAGGGGGTCAGAGCTAGGGCTAGGGCTAGAGAGGGAATAGGGGTGACAAGGCAGGGCTGGCCGTTAGCGTTAGGGTTTGTACTATATGGAGAAGAAGACAACGACAAAATTTTCATCATGCAAACACATGGTAAAAATGTCATTTTACAACATTATTTGAATTTCATTTAAAATTGGTGCGTGTACGACAATTTCTGGACAAAAAATGTAACCATTTCACTTTAGTACAACCATAGGGGAGATTTTTGGCTATTTTGAACGATAAGGCGGTACAATACTACAGGTCAAATCACAAAGGAGCAAATTGGATTTTGTCCTAATTTTTATTACCACCATATATATAGACTGAAATGTATCACTATTGAAAAATCTATACATATCAATTGGTATATTTGAATGTATCAATGTCGAGAAACAAAAAAAAAATCAATATGTATCAACCGATGTAATACATATCGTTCAATATTTAAAATCATAGGAAATACAATGGAGTTAGAAAGACCTAGTGACAATTGGTGATTAGAGACGTTGTGCATCGGCGGGTTGCTGCTTGGATTTGTCACTATATTGTCGGCACCTGAAGAAAAGGGAGAAAATATTCACAACCTTTTTCAATGATATTTTTGTAACAATAATATTACATAGCCCAAAAAATACTTAAAAACACTTTTTTAGTCTACATGTATATAATTTTTGTCACGACCCGCTCCCTGTACCCAAGAGTCAGGTATCGTGACCGACCAGTAACTATGGTTATCCAAGGTCGATTGTAGAACTAAACAGATTAACAAACAAAAGTGGAAATAATTATTTACATAAAGGTACCAAAATATGCATCAAAGCTTCTATTTATTTATAACAAAAAGGCCATTAGACGGAGGTTTACAAAATAAAGAATTAAACTTGTACACAAAAATACACTGCGCGTCTATTCCATAGTCCCATTCCCCAAACAAGCCGTGCACCTCCATCTCTAATCATTATCTCCTAAAAATTGGTAAACAACTTATAAGCATAACCAATGAAATTCTTGGGCCTTCCATTAGGTGCTAATCCAGGTAGGAAATCAACCTGGAAGCCTGTGTTGGATAAGGTTAAAGCCAGGTTGGCGGGTTGGAAGAGAAGAACTCTATCTTTTGCAGGCAGGCTAACGTTGATCAAGTCTGCCCTGTCTAGTCTGCCTATTTACTATCTTTCTCTGTTCAGAATGCCCAATGGAGTTGTTAGAGAAATTGAAAAACTCCAAGCTGCTTTCCTGTGGGGAGGTAACGATCTGAAAAGGAAAGTTCACCTAGTAAAATGGGCTGAAGTGACAAAAAGTAGGGAGCAAGGTGGACTGGGAATTAGAAGAATCAAGGATGTCAATTCTAGCCTTCTCCTTAAATGGTGGTGGAAATTTGGGAAGGAAGTAAATGTCCTTTGGAGAAGGTTGTTGTGTAGCAAATACAGGATTGAGGAGGGTAGCTGGACCCCATTGGCGAGTGTGTCTCATAGTC